ATTAAACACGATATCTTGCGTGAAAAACTCATCGGACAATGCCCCACAACCAAACAGTCTGTGGCGTTCTGTGGCCAGCCGCATAGCCTCTGTTCCGGAACAAGTATCGCGTTTCCATTTTTGATGCAGTTACCGAAGTGCCTTCAACGCACCGGCTGCAATCTTTGCAGCCAACGCCCCGGCTTCATGTGATCATTGGCCTGTCACTGGTAATCCGCTTGCAAGCCAACTGGAGGTAGGGTCCTCTTTTGGCCCGGACACCATGATTCACAAGTGGCATGAGGCCTAGAAATGAGTGATTGAGAAGATGACCTGGCAATTCCATGCCAAGTGCATGCCCCTGCCGGTTGCACTCCGCGTCAGTCCCGAGTTGGTATTCTCGAGGTTGAGTTGGCCTGGCGATGCTGCTGCCTCATGGATCATCTGGGTCACTTTTCTAGAACGGGCTGCCAGCCGCCAGGAATTCTATGAGACAAATGTGCATACCCACAAGCTGTCGTGCATTCAAAGATACTTCATTGACAAGGGCTGCATTGCCGACTTTGCTCGAGCTGTTTGCTTCTTGAGAACTGCTTTTTGAGGGCCCAAAAGCGAAATCAAAGGTTGGCAATCAGCCGACCTCCGAAGGAAGGTATGGCAAAAGAGGGAAAGAACAAACACATCCAGGGGTGTTTTTACATACCCCTTTTTGCATATCCCTCAAAATGGTCACAAAAGGCTCAATGTTGTTCATACACATCTTCCCCCTTGGGAGTGTATGCCCATAAAGTGGATATTGGCAAAGGGCGCAGGGAACCAAGCTAGCATGGATGTCCTTTTCAGGGAGGCCCCCCCAAAGTTCTGGATTTCCCTTAAGCTTTCTCTTAAAACCCAGAACACAAAACGGGTGATGGCCCTCATAAAAAAAGGAACCGACACCCATATGACCCAAGGAGTATTTCCACCCGACGGGTCGCCTTGAAGTCCATCGTCTCCCGGAAGGCGCCGTCGTGCACGCGCTGGGAGGTGGGGGTTGGAGGCCGCTTCTCGGTGGACTGCAAGTTGTACCTGAGGTGAACCGAGCTTCTCGGTCGGGTGGGTATCCGCCCAAAAACATGGAACCAAGGACCTGCACACCCAAATCCAAAAGGCCACGGTGAACATGGAATAGTGGGATCCCTGTGGGACTTCCATTGTGTGGCCGAACATGAAACTTGAAAGAGGGCGCCTTAGAGGACGGCTTTCCACAAGGTCCATATCAGGTCCGCGTTTGTTCTTGGGGGTACTATGTTCAACGGAAGTGGACGATAGGAGGGTTTTGGGTTGTCAAAGACGGAAGCCATCCTCTCGACAAGGCCTCTTTGGCACCTCCGTGACTGTTGGAAAAAGGGTATACCATGGTGGAAGTAGATGACACATACACAATCATGTTTATGTAAGGAAATTACTAAACCAACATGGAGTAAGTGGCACTGTCCGTACTTTCACCCAACTGCATTCAGGGATGTACATTAGACATGTCTGGTGAAGAACGAAAGGGGACGAGGACCGTACTGCTTTGTGGTTGTCGTACTTGAAACATGGGAATATGCCAAACTCACCACAGGCCCCAAGGCCTCACAGATGGTCCCAACCACAGAGAGGCTCCCAAGAGGCTTCAACGAGAGTCCCATGTCATAATCAGACGCGGAACTTCGGGAACTCAGGTGAGCCATCGGTCAAAACAACACGTGGGTGCCGCGACTCGTCTGCCTCGGAAGAGGAGAACAGGAACGTGACCAAATGGTCCCCAAGTGCAACGGGCAGGCTACGCGAGGGGTGCCATTTGATGTCCATGCAAGCGTCACAACACCAAGGATCTCACGAACTCTCTCAGAGCGATACCCTTGGGGAGGATCTGCGCCCTCACATGCGGTCCAAAGGCCAACACACCCCTCAGGATCAAGGGCCCCGTCCCCAGATCCTGTGTAAGGGAAAATCCACCCTGGCATGTATTAGCTTTCCCCGTGCAAAGAGAACTAGGACACTCTCACTTGCCTGGGTGTCAATGGGTTGGTCGTTCTTGTTGTGGTAAAGACTTTCGCCTGTCGCGTGGGTGTTCGGCAAACAGTCTGGAGACTTTCGCCTGAGGTGCCAAGACTCAAAGACACTGACTGACTCCGCGGAAAGTTTCAGCCAGCAAAAGCTGCTCCGAACGGTGCACCCATGATATCGTCGGACTGTACTGACGTGTCCTTGCAATGCGCTGCTCAATGTCGCGAGCAATGATGACATTAGCCTGTCCAGCCTACATGAACCCATCACCATCATCATTCCAATTGCCTTCATCACACTCATCACCCTTGTCAGCCTCCTCCTCCTCATCCTCCTGATCCTCCTGCTCATCCTCATCCTCATCATTCTCATCATTCTCATCATCTTCATCATCCTGAGCATCCTTATCATTTTCACCATCCTGATATTCATCTTCCTCATCCTCATCCGCATCACCATCCCCACTCTCATGATCATCAAACATCATCCTCCACGTCCTCCGACATCGTTGTCATCGCCGCAGTCGTCATAGTCATGATCATAGTTGTCATATGTTATCATTAGTCAGTACCATTCTGTCTGAATCGTTCTGAGCGAATCGTTCCCGCGAGACTCTTGTGGTTCAGGCCATGGGTTGGCATGCTCACAGCGAGCAATGAACTGCCAGAATCCAGCTCTTGTACAGAATGGAGGCTTGCAGAGAGATGCAATATTCTGGCCACTCGGTGGGAAGATGTCAACCAGCTAGATACGGTTGAGTGCACTGTACATCAGCTAGTTGCTGCGTGCTTGGCGGACAACATATTGGTGACTCTCGTGACTACAGTGCATGAATTTCAGGTGGTGCGGCCACTTTGTCTGTATTTCGCACCTCTGGGATCAACAAGCGATCTGCGTCCTGACTCAAAAAACTACTCTTGCGAAGAAATGGACATATTGGAAACTAGGTGAAGAGCTTCTCAAGTGTCTGGTTTCATGTTCGTCCCCTTGTTACCCAGTCCCCAAACTTCGCAGCAAAAAACCGCCCGGCCTTGGGCTGCGCCCCCTCCAGGTCGTGGGTGGTCAAGGAGAGGTCCTGCACCGAGTCGCCGGCTTTGATCTGTTTGCCCCTTCGAGGGGGCGGCGAAGGTTTGGACCTTGTGTTGGTTTGGGGAGGACGCTTAGGGAGGACATATGGGGCCTATCCGCATTTCCGAGGAGAAGCAGCAAGTTTGTACGGGCTTCGCGCGTTCCTGATTGCTTGCAAACTGATGGCGTGGCGTGTTGAGACATGGATGCAGGGATTGGGAATTGTTTCCGCATGGCACAACCCGGATCCTGCCAATCCCACGTGCTTGCCACCACTCAAGCAGGGTTGATATATTCATTGAGGTCTTTGGACATTCCCCCTTAGGGTTGTGACTCACCACCGGATGCAAACGCTCCTGCCCTGCAATGGAGACCCCCCCGCTCAGGGGCTCTCGAAAACCATGCTTTGTAAGCTAGCAATAATCGACTGCCAGCAGCACCACGCGAGCGGCGCGAGTGCTGCCCCTTCGACAGTACTGACAACAGTACTTACCTGCTTTGGAATACGTGAGAAACAAAAAGGTGTCTAATTACCTCTTACAACGGGGGAAGGTCATCACACAAGTGAAGCAAAGGATATGCCGACTATCCCCACATGCAAGAACATACACAGCGTTTTGCGGGTGTGCGCGCGCGTGCTGTGCGAGAGTCCGCTGCTGCTGCGCGCGCAGCTTGTCACTACGTGACACTTGCATGCTACTGCGTCTCACTTGCGACTGTGTGTCACTTGCGTGTTACTGCGTGTAACCTGCGTGTAACCTGCGTGTCACCTGCGAGTTACTGAGTGCCACTGAGTGTCCCTTGCGCATCACTGCGTGTCCCAACCCCACGGTATTTGGGGCGATTCCTATGGCTGGCCGGCGTGAACACACGTCGGGTCGGCCTGGCAAAAGACGGGGTAGGCAGCGCAGGCAAGGGAGCTTGGGGAGGGGATAGGAAAGGCAATCGAGGTAGAGAGGTAGAAAGCCAGGCACCAGAAGAGGCAGCGCTGCCCATCTTTAACCCATGTGCTTGGACATGAGCTCGGATTTTGTGTACACAGTGTACAAAGCGGTACTTTTGGCTAAGTACTGCTTTTGCTTTCAAATGCGGGAGTACCCTCGAACGCATGGTTGCTACCATTGTAGGGGTGGCATTCATGTTGTCCCTTGCTCATGACCAATAGCAGTGGTCAGTTTCTTGAAGATATCCTCAAACGGAAGGCATCAGCCCTGCATGAGCAACTCTGCTTCTGTTGTTGCAAGGCCGTGACAAAAGGACACCGAGCCAACCAGGCGAAGGAAGACAGGAAGGACTTATCAGGTGTTTGGAGGATCGTCCGTGTTGTTTTTAATTTGACACACATGATACACCTGATGGTCTTTAGCTTTCCGCTCTTTCAGCTCAGGTTGGGCCAGTTCCTGTTTAATCGCGTTTCAGCACACCTTGTTATGTTGTTGAAACACCTCCGTTCGGTGTCGCTTAAATCTAAGGTTGACCTGCGGCTGGTGCTTGAAGCCAAAGTTTCCCACCACCCCTGTCTGTCATTTCCTAGCTTCTTGTCATCGAGGGCCGGCCTCCTTTTAAGACACAAAACCCAGGCGGATGCAGGTATCGGAGTCCTTCACCTTCTTCAGCTCCGGCTGAACTTTGGCCGTAGAGCCCACCACGTGCTCCTCTTTGACATGCCGCAAAAAACTGCCATGTCATGCCCAAGGCGAGCGCCTGTTACCAGGTAAGCTCGCCATTGAACTTGGAGATGTTGGTTGCGTTTGCATTGGAAGGTGAACCTGGGTGTGTATTTGTTTGACGGTACCTGTTTTGGGGTGGCGGAAAGGGAAACTGGAGGAAACGCACCCGTTTTTTGTTTTTTTCTTGGGGTGCCAATTTGAAGACAAATCTTGCCTAAATGCATTCGGACCCCTTGGTGACCCACAACAAGGGATCCACGAATGGGTTTCACTCTTGGGATATTTAGGGCATGGTAGGTGACATACCGAGGGAGGGGGGACCGTTTAGGAAATGGTGCAGCTCGCCAATAAATGATCACCTCAGACTCCAAAGAAATGGCTAAACATGGGAGCTTTCCTGATTCACACAGCTCGTTTTATTGGTGACTTGCTCCGAATCAAGTTGGCCCTTGCCAGCTCGCCAGCGCGCACATGCATGCATGACCTGCTCGCCTTCCTCGCAGCAAACCCAGTCCTTCTTTGGGCTGCCGGAGAGGTGCAAGGATTGCGTCTTGAACCTTGGACATCCACAACTCAAAGCTGATCTGAAAAGCCCAAAGATGTTTTACTCCTGATTTGCAAAACGAGTCAGTGCAGGATCGGGGTCGGTCGGTTGACAAATTGCGCTCCCACCAACAAACAAAAGCAAACTTCTATTTAGTTTCCTCGCTTGACACTTTCCCACATACTCCCACCACACACACACACACCCATACAAACTGACATCCTCGAACTCACTCTGTAAATTTTGGCTTGAAGGAAAACCACCGAAAGTAACTTTGAGAACCAACATAAACCCACCTGGCAGTCAATTTTCAAACTCACTGCAGGTTGACCTTGACTCGGGACTCAGGTCCGAGCCCAGGCATGGCACCCTTAATGTCTTCCGCCATCAGTGACTGGGCGACGTGGTGGCTTAGGGCTATGTACGCGCGCTGTAGGCATGTATGTATGTCCGTCTGTCTGTCTACCTGCATGTGTGTTTGTCTGCATGTTTATATGTCTGTATGTCTGTAGGCCTGTATGACTGTCTGTATGTCTGTCTGTATGTCTGTCTCCGTGTGTGTCTGTATGTGTGTGTGTGTGTGTCTGTCTGTATGTCTGTATCTGGGTGTGTGTCTTTATGTGTGTATGTCAGTGTGCACAGTATGTCTGTCTTTCTGTGTATCTGTCTTTATGTATGTCTGTCTGTATGTCTCTCTGTGTGTCTAATCAAGAAACGTGCATTTCTGCTCCTTTTCTTTGGGGGGCGGGGCGGCTGGACACCATCCCCAGCATTGCAAGCTGCCCAGCGGTTGATGAACATTGAAGGAAATCGAGGGAAATGGAAGCAAAATGAATGGAAACGAAGCAAGGCAAGGAGCGCTCCGCACTGAAATATGGTTGCTTGGTGCGCATGAAACCCTTGAGGGCAACTTATTAGAAAATACCCCTGGCACGGACGACTGGCATGCACAAGCTGAGCCGGGGACAAGGCAGACAGCAGTGAAAGGGGGCGAGGCACCAGAATTCGCTAATCGCGTCTAAATGGACCCTGGCACGGTAAGATGGCACACGCACATGCACACACTGCGCCACGGAGAAGGCAGAGAGTAGGGCAAGGGGAGGAAGGAAAGGCGGAAAACGAACATGCACTCGCCCAGTGCAGTGAAATAGGGGTTAATACAACTAGACCTCTGGCACCGATAAATGGCATGCGCATGCTGAGCCTGGGGCAGGCAGCAGGGGAAGGGAAGGAACCGGAATTCGTGTGAAGCGTAGCGCATTTAAGAGCAGGGCAAGGGGTGAACAAAGGGGAAAGGACGGAGGAACGCGCACAAGGGACGCCCAGTGCTATGTCCTATGTGATGGGGGTTCATCCAACTAGACTCCTGAGGTCCTGGCACGGAGCACGGACAAATGGCAAGAACAAGCTGGGAACACATGAAAGGGAGGGAACCAGAATTCGCTCCCAAGCACTCAAAAGAGGCGTAGGCGCATGTACTCACTGCGCCGCGGACAAGGCGGAGAGTAGGGCAAGGGGGTGAACTCACTGGAAAAGGAGGGCACTGAAGAGAAACGAAGGGAGAAAGGAAGCGAGAAAGGAAGGGAAATGAAGGGCAAGGTTCCCGGTGGCCGGCTGCTTTGCGTGAGCCAGTGTTTATACACATACACATACATATATATATATATATACACATACTATGCACAGTAAACGCTCTACCTCCACGATTGTCAACCAATATCACGCCAGCAGCGGTGGGTTCCTGCTGGCTCTGTGCAGTATGCGAAGCTGCAGCCATCTGGAAGTTGAAAGGACTGTCATGTTGGCGCAAGCACTCGCTAGGTCCATCCTAGCTGCGCGCTAGCCCACACCAACTTCAGCCCGCATCCCAAGCAAAGTGACTATACTTTAATCAGGACCCTTTTGTGGGCTTTTTTTACACGGGGATTGATGTCCACCGGCCATCATTGAGGGCAAGTATCTCGTAGCAATAAGCTCAACAGGGCCACATGATACATTTTCACATGTTTTTTGCCGTCACACCCGGCCCCGCCTGCTGGTAATCCTTCTCGTATGGAATCTTTCCCAGCGGCACATCTTTGGGCCGCACCACATTCAAAGACCTTGAAGGTCACACGCTCACTATGTCTAATCCAACTCTTGCTCGCACTGCCATGACGCAAACAAGCCCACGTGGAGGTCAAATGAGTCCGGCTTTGATCCTTCTCAAAAGAGGACAGGGCGCTGGTCAAAAAAAACATGAGACATGTCTGTTGGGCGAACAACGAAATCGCATCTTGGTGATATGTCAATGCAGCATCGTGATCTCGAGAGGAGCGCGGTGCCCGTACACCAAAAACACTGTAGCTTGCCCGTATGAATGCGACCGGAGTTTTGCCTGACACTCACGGGTCTCCAAGGGCAAGGTGCGTCAATAAAACAATCATCATCCTTTCGAAACGTCCTCCTTGCCACAGCGCGCTCAGACCAGCAAACGTGAGCTGATTGTTGTTCGGTGTCTCGCCCGGTTGTGCGGGCGCGATAGCGCTTCTGATATTTGGCTGTAAAGCAGATGTTCAAGCTATATAAAACTGCTTGTGATGGGCTCTCTGGACCATGACTTGGAAACTGACCTGTAATCGGAAACGCTCGGTACCACTCCTTCCATGTTCCACGTTCCCTTGCAGAAGCCTGGTTTCAGGCTTATTGCGACTCGCGGGGCTGGTTGCCGAGGCTTCTGCATTGCGTCTGGTCGCGATGGGAAGGGAACCTCACCTCCGTCATCTGATGGATGATAAAGCATCGATGGCCCCTGTCACAGCCGCAAACAAGTTGCAAACCCAGGCACAAAGCTGGTTGACATATTGCTCACCTTCTCAGGGTAAATCAGAAACGAATCCTCACCATGGGCTTTTGGTTGCGCTTGCGCGACCAAAGCGAGGTCGCCACGACTTGCGCACATGCGCTAAGCAATGAGGGACGACAACAACCCCTGACGGCTGATTGGGTGTTTCTCAAATAGTTGGGGTGGCTAGCTAAGGAATCAACAACAACCATACATATATATATATATATATATTGGTTTCATTGGTCTCTGATGTTGAGAAACGCCTAAAAAGAAACATGTGGCTTGAGTTCATGCACGATTCAGTCCCGCCTGGGGCGGAACAGCGAGGCCGATGGCAGTCAACGGCATCCTCAGCCACGTTCTTTGGGCTGATGTTGCAGTGTTTTTTTAGCGGACCCAATGGTGGATTTTCCACTGGAGTTCCTTTAAAAACCACGAAAAGAGGGCACGCAAAACCACTGACACACATGCCGAAATAAACGGCAATTACGATGTCTCAAGACTCCTAGGCTTCTAGTCACGTTACAACTAGGCAGTACAGCATGGGATGGGAGCTTGGCAAGAGCACCCTTCCGTCATGCACAACTTCTTTACTATTTTCCATTGCTACGCACGCTGCACGTGTGAAACACATGAAGAAAACAATTCGCCCATTGCTGTCCTGCGGCAAAGAGAGATGAACCTACGCGCTCAAACAAAGGGCCCCTTCCCAAATCTAGCCGCTCCTGTGCAAATGCACTGTACCTGCAAGACACACGCGAAAGCAGGCCTGCAATGCCGGCGCTGGCTGAGCCGGAGGCGTTTAAGTTGAATACCCTTTGGTTGAGGGATGAAACCAGACGTTCGCGTTGTTGTTCGGTCACAGCGCTCTGGATAAAGAACCAACGCCGCAATCACGTTGTCGGACAGTTGGAGCGATGCCACGCGTGCTCTCTGTCTACCTGTCTTGAACTGTCGAGAGTCTCAATCTGAGATGCTGTTGAAGCGCGGGCATTGGAGGAATAGCAGCTCCTTGCGGCTGTCCCTGCAATACTTTTTGGAGCTCTTGAAGTCGCTCCTGATGCTGTTGCGTTCTCTTTTGTTTAGCTTCAGGTACTGCCAGCTGAATGCACTCAGGACTGCCCTTTGTGTATTCCTGAGCTGTGTGTTCCCATACTGCCTTCAATCGTTGTAGGAGGACTTCAACTTTGGATAAGGAAGCCACAAACTCATTGTTCTGCTGGTGGTTGTGGAAGAAACTGATGTACCGGTGCAGGAAAACGCTATCGCTGCTCTTCAGGCAATGCTGTCGGAGAAATGATAGGAAAGATAGGGTAGAGCATCTTCAATAAGCCTGGTCTTCAGCTTAGGGCCGCGTGTTGCCTCCTCGACTGTTGCAAAAGTCTTCCAGTCAGTCACGTATCACTTCTTCATACGGGAAGCAGATGGGGGCGACTTGAGATATGGATTGCAGGTGTTTGCTCATGTTGCGATGAACATCGACGAACAAAACCGAGGACCCGCCCCCTCCCGCACTACGCCCGCGCTCCGGAAACCAAAGACTCGACCAAGACTTCGAGACCGTTGATCTGAGCTCCGGTCGCGGGCAGGTTCCCGGGGGTTGCACTTTGGCACCAGGTGGAGCTCAAGAAAGTGTAGATTTATGGGATTGTTTTGTGCTTAAAGTGTACTTATGCGCATTGCTACTGGTGTCTAGATGTGTAAACATGTGTAGATATGTGATAATATGTATGTACCATTTCTATAATTCTGCGCATAGACGTGTTTCTGCCATGATACAAATCAAAACCTGCATTGCGAATGGGGCCCCGGGAGCGGCAATGCTCCAAACATGAGGCCCGCGAAAGTTGGCAATGGGATGAATTCCGGGCACCTTTGAATCTGCATACTGCCCCGAAGTCCAAGCGCCAAGTGCTTGGCTGTGGCTCGAGCCGCGAAATCAAAGTTTAGTTCAGTAGTTGATAGCTTGCATATCACCAAAAGAGGGGCCCCCTCCAAAAAGACACAAAGATCATATGTCAAAATAGTGGAGTTGCCTTCTGCTTGAAACGCAAGCTGCTTCAGACTGTCGCAGGAACAAGCTGCAACACGGATGTGGGAGACTCGCGCCACATATTTGCCTTCGGGCCGTCGGGTATCGAAATCAAGGTATAGCTTCAAGTTGACATACTGAGAGCGTGGCATCACACACTGAGATCATGTCACATACCGTTGGTCGGAACACATTTCTCTGCAAGCCCCACTGGCCACAGGTTCATCTCAGAGTGCAATTCCAGGAGCCAAAAGGCTTCGGCTCGCTCCGCTATGTAGCATGGCTTGCTCGCCACTCAAAGGCTATTCGGTAGACCGGTCTGGGTGAAACGGAGCGGATCGGATGTCCGGCTCTGGTGATCTACAAGACCACGAAAAGCCACAGTTTCTGTCCAGGTCCTCTTCAGTCTTTCCCTTCGGGCAACTTCAGCCGCCTGGAAAACCGGGAGGACCTTTTACAACAGCTAGGGCTGTGAATCTAAAGGCATTCTGTGCACGGATGTGCGCTCAACGCTCTATTGCGAGCAAGAAGAAAATTGGTTCTCTCACTTCACTTCTGTCCACATCGCCGCCTCCTGCGCAGCTCCAACCTCTTTTGAGCTCCCGTGGAAGATCGCCAAGCACATGGGTTACGCGGCCCGGCGTAATTATTTTGGAAACCGTCATGGTAAACCTCTAGGCCACGAATCTGAAAGAGTCACCGTCCTCCAGCATACTGAGGCTGAGCTCACCGTCCTCAAGACTCTCGCATCTCTTTCTCCAGAAAAGCTGCGTCGCAAGATTGAAAACCTAGCACCCGCGTCCAAACAACTGCCAAAATCCCAAGTACTGTCCAAAAAACAGTGGTTGGGACTCGGGTGCTGGCAACAGATCCTACTTCTGAGTACACAAATCGACCTACAAAATGAAACTTAATCTCTGGGACGAGTCTAATGAGGGAAACTCGCCCTCTGTCCTCAGGATCTTTACCAATTGGTTCAACTGCTGCTGAGCAACGTGATCAAGCGCTATACATCACAAGCGAAATGCGTCACATGCGACGTGAAAAAGAAGATCTTGGGTTTTCTCCTGTTGTGCTTTCTCCCATCGATGCAAGCGGCACCAGCCACTCTGTCCTTCTTGCCGCTGATATCTGTCTTCCCACCAATCTCCTGCATGACTCAACGGCTTAAGGCGAAAAATCAACGGACCAAGGAACTGAGGGCTCGCAGATTGTTCCACCCGGTCCTCTCCACGCTTCTTGCTGAGGTACTGAAGCAGCTCTGTTTGCAGCTGGTTCCCAGTCGCCCCAGAGAGCGTGTGAGCCTGTCGCAATGCGAGTGCTTCTTCTTGTCCCTTTGAGAAATCGATCGGTCACTAGATATCCTTTTGGAGATGGCGGCAATTTGTTTTCAATGGCTGACACCAGTGCCATTTTCAACCAAATTGACTAAACAAGGACACCTCTGGTCACAATCTGCATGGAAAAGAAGCCGCCGTTGCCTCGGAGGAAATCTTGCGATGCCCAAACCTGAGAGGCTCAGAGGCTTAAGCCCAGAAAAGCATCCGGCAAGTGGGGTGACAAATGGACGCGAGGTGCAACTGCTTAGCCCGAGATCTCCCGAGAGGTCTCCGTGGCCATGAGCTTGTGGTGGACATCAACATCTTGGGGGGGAAAAAAAAAGTATCAGGAAGCGGGGATGTGCGAGGATACCCTGTAAAGGAAACCATGTCGTCTATGACTTCCGAAAGGACAGAGTAGTACAGCTCAAGAGACTACCCAAAAAATATGTAAACATGTGGTGACGCAGGTCCACCAACTTTTGAGGTGGCCACTCTCAAAACTCATAGCCACATGGCTTCCCCAGTCCCCAGCTTTGTCCCTCTGACTTTCGTTGTGTGGTGAACCAGATGAGATTGCTGCCAGAGTCTGGTACCTGATCTCTTGAACGAAGTTATGCTTCCTTCTGGTGTGGATCGACCTCTAAAACGATCGAATAGCCATGGCAAGAAATGGTGCTTGAAAAGCATCGGCCCGTGTGTCCTGCAGGGCGCCTCCTTTCAAAACAGTCCAGTCACAGTGCAACGATCGAAGCGCATCACAGCAGCCAATCTCCGTGAAACGCGACCAATGCGTGGGTAGATATCCATGTTCCGATGTTACAATGTGACTTGTTGTGCTGGTTTGCGTCAGGTCCCCCCGACGACAAGTGTGTAGATCATTGAACATATGCTTCCGCCGTACTGTAATCAAAGCTCTGAACACGTTACATCACACAACGTACGGCCAAACCATAACTGTCGCCCAAAAGTCGTGGCCAAACAACTGCAGAACACTTACTGGCCATCTATTACTAACATGCGAAGCATATCCAGGAAAGCATGCCTCCCCGAAATACCCTTCTTCCGGTCCTTCGTTTTGACCCATGCAACATGTATGCCCAGCAATTGGGTCATGGATGTCAGCCTAAATGCTATGGGGCAAGTGCAAGCTTGATTGGTGGTTCATAGGGGCAAACAACTGCACTAAGCAAACACCGTTGCTAACCAAGGTCTACAAATCTTTTCTGATACTGAAACTTCAAGACACAAGCCACAGGATAGCATGGCTTGCTAAGCCAAGACTAACCAAAAAAAACAGCAAACTCAAACCACCGATCTCAAACGCTGGCCGGCACTGGGCACCAGGGCAACTCCGTGGTCCTCGTCGCCAGACGATGGGCCCAAAGCTTCTCCTGCGATGACGAAACAAAGTTGTCTGTTGAACCTTAAAATACAGGTCCCCTACCTTGAGACACACCCAATTGGCACCCAAGGGCAGATTGACCTGTTGCTGCCTTTGCGGCTGCAGTCTAGCGTGGTCCTGCAAATTATATAATTACATAGATGGCAATTCTTTGGAGTAAAGTAGCTTCTCTTTTTTCCATGTTTGTTCTTGTATTCTCTGGTTGCGATATGGCACGCCTCAGCCTCTCCCCCCATGGTCCTAGGATTCGTGTTCAGCTGTGCTTGTGGTCCAGTGTCATATCTGTGCAATTGCGTGATTGATTTTGCGGCCGTGCCATTTATCTGTATATGTAAAACACGTGTAATGTAAGCAATGATGCCACCATTTGCCATCGGCCAGGTCTGCATGCAGCTCATAAATATTAGGACACTGTTGATGTTGTTGTTGCTTTTTGGTTTTTACAGCAGCATCATGTTGTAAGGGTTCAATATTCAAGAATGTGAGAACAATCTTGTTGGGGGGAATATAGAATCCTGAAATCCAGAATGTTCAATCATTGTTAAACATTGTTGAACATATTGTATCCATGATACAATAATCTGAGAAAACTATGCCTGGAGATCTTGAATCTGGAATCTCACAGCTTGTATTTCAACATAAAACCGATGAACGTCCCACTACTCCAGGTTGCCAAAGTATCGGTTGGAATAATCCAAAAAGGCAAACAGAGCGTGCATTTTCCCTTCTTCAAATCGAGGACTTTACCAGCCTTTTACCACTATACATGTAATCCCGTGGTAAACAAAACGAGTACTGCATATTCCGGGAGCTAATAGACATCAGGGAGTACTGTTGGACCCTGTCTACTAATTGGGGCCTCTTTTGTTGGAACGTATTTGTCCTAATTGGTGCCTTTTTGCGACGACAATCTTTGCAGATGAAGGGTATAAGCAGGTTTCGAAGATAAATTCCAGCTCGATCCGGCCAAACAGCTCGAGCTCAAACAATCTCAATCGGGAAATGTCTAAGGATTCCTCCGGATCTGCGGAGAGCGAGCTACAGCTGTCGTGTGGGGCAAAGAGCTGCGTGTGTTTGAAGCTGAAGGAGGTGACGGTTGATGCAAGGCAAAGCACTGTCACATTAAACATACTATATATATACAGTATACATATATCCCCTGCTCGTGGACCTAGGAAGTAAACCAGCTGCTTTGTTGATGATGGTCCCTACATATCTTCCCAAGTTCCTGCCTCGCAAATCAACAGGCAGGTGTCATCTCAGTGAAGCAAGCCAAACCTCTCCTCAGTCTGAAGAATATGCTTGGATGGAGCAAGAGCACGTGGAGCGTGCCTTAGCATCCCAGAGTCCTTGATCAATGAAACTGCGATGATTCCTCCACACCTCCCGGCGCCCAGCCGGAACATGAAGAACTGCACTAACAAACTCTGGATGCAGTGACAGTAATTCCATCACCAGGGAATAAACTTCATTGTTTCTGGCCCCTTCTCCAATGTAGTTAAGGTATTTTCGCAATAGTTTACTTTCCGCAAGAATAAGATCAGTCTTCATCAACCCACCGTTTTAAGGCTTCTAACTGCTCTCTGCAAAACCACGCACCTTGAAAGTCTTGCAACGTGCGACGTCAAAAACAATGTCACCCATCATCGTGTGTGCTTGGGACCGCATCCATGTCATGCATTTGAGCTGGAGGAGGTAATATTCACCTGATTTCTCAGTGCATCCAAGCCGGAATGCTGCTGTTCTACGGGACTAACGACGATGTTAACCCTTGCTCGCAGTGGGATCCGTCCTGTCACTTACTAAAATGGAACCTTGACTGAAGCTCCTTGGAGGACTTTCCGCGCAAAAGGAACCCGCAGTCAGTGGGTGTAGGATAACTCAAACAGTAGCTGCTTTGTGCAGACATGCATCTCCAAATAAGCGGCACGAAAAAGCATTGCCATAATAGACAAATTGGGCAACATCTCCGGGCTCTGGGTTCTGGTTTCTCAATCTAAACCTGAACTGGGGCAAGCCTCTGAGAGGAACCTCACAGGTGAGGCCAACCTCCTTGCCAGGCCTTTCTGAGACCATTGACCTTTCCTTTACACGTCGTCAGCCAAGCCAGTATTGACAGTGG